GCGCCCAGGCTGCGGCGCCAGGCAGTGCGCTGCAGTTGGCAGCGCGGCACAGCCCCTTCCCCGCGCGCCCCAGCTCGCTCACCCGCGCGCCGCTTCGCCCGCTGGCTAGGAAAGCTGCCGGGCGCGCGAGCAGCCAATCAACGCCTTCCTACGGCGAGCCGCCGGGGCCAGAACTCCCGGCTTGGACAAGAACGCGTTCTGCTGGTGACGTGGTGGGTGGGGGCGGGGCCAGCTCGTGGAGCCGCTGGCCTTGCGCTCTGCAGGGCCCCGCCCCCGCTCCCGGGGATCTGCTCATTGCAAAGCCCTTCCCCCTCCACCCTCGAGTGCCCTTGTGCAGGCTCTGCTGCTGCTTTGCTGCGCTGGGCTCTATACACAGTAGCTCAGCTCAGTCCAGAAAGTTTCCTTAGTCCAGGGGTGCTCAGCCAGGGTGCCCTCCCCCAGTGGCACCTGGGATGCTTTCCAAGCTGCTTCACAGGGTGAGCTCCAGGATGGCCCCCGGGAATCCCTGACTCTGGTTGTGCAACAGAAACCCTGCCCTGCTACTCTCCTGTCCTTAAATAACGAGTGAAAACGAAGAGCTGGGGCAGTTGTAGCTGTGTTAGCTTAAGGACGTGATATCTTTTATTGGACTAGCTAAATAGTTGGAGAAATTGTTCTTTGCAAGCTTTCGGGCACAAATTCCTTTCTTCAGGCACAGGAACAGTCTGCGGCTGTTTCGTGCTCTCCTGGATGGAACAAGCCAACGTGCAAAATGCAGGCCAGTGCAAATGCAAATGCAATGGTAGTTAGGATCAGAGGCCATGGGGGACAAGAGGTGTGAGGCAGGTAGGGGTGGGGTGGGGTGGGGGGTTGACCTGGTGATAATGTAACTGGTAAAATGTGGAGAGGTTACCTGGGGTTATCAAATGTTAGGCAGATTATAATATACTGTAAATCCAATGTCTATATTTAGTCCATGATTTTTCATATCCAGTAGATTGATGAAGTGAAGTTTGTAGGCTCATCTGTGAAAGGTGTTTTGTACATTATCTTTGAGGATGAGAAGTGAGAGACTGGAGAGAGAGTGGGTGTGTTGTGAGAAGTGTGCACCCACAGGTGCTTGGGTATTTCTGTCTCATAGATTTCTGGTGTGTGTTCATTCTGGTGCACAGTTATTTCGTGGTTTCTGTGACATATTTTCCATCAGGGCATGTAGTGTGCTGGATGAGATACAGAAGGCTGGCATTTCCCAAAGGCTAATGAGTCTAAAAAGGTTGAGGACCTCAGCCTCCTTCTCTGCCTGCTCCTGCAGCTATGACTGGATGCTGGCTGTCACCTTAGCAGTAGTCAGTCGCTGGTTTAATACACAAGGCCTCAGATTAGAGTCCACGGTTAAAGTCGCATGTTCTACTCCTAAAGCTTCATCTTCTCCTCTTTGTGCTGTGAAGTGCATGCATGAGCAAACCTGGAATTTGGAAAAGGGGCGTGGGGACAGTGAGGTGCATCATCACATATAACAGCATTTATCTTTCTTCTGTTAGAAGAAATTAGAAGCTTCACGTAGACACTGTGTTACTCAGTTTAAGAATGAAGAAAAGCAAACCTAACTTCATAGGAATGAATGAAAAACAGTCTGCAAAGCTGAGAATTAGGAGCTTCAGTATCAGGAGCAGGGAACAGACAGCAGAATAGCAGAACAAAGGATAGCTTTTTTGGTGGAGTATCAAGACCCGTGGAAAGAAGCCTTTAACACCTGTGGAATGAAGAATTTAGATGGAACCAGGTGGGATGATACTGAGCTATCAAGTCAATTGACTCCCTGAGCAATGCCTGACTAGAAATTCTGCTGCTACTGCCAGGCAGTTCATTTTAAACTTTGTGTAGAGCAGGAATCAAAGTGGGGTGTGAGTGCACCCCCTCGGATCTGCCCTTGAGCCATGTGTGCTGGAGCATGTTTGCAACCACCTGTCCATGGGCAGACTTCTGCTAGAAGGGGATGGTAAATCAGCCCTTCCTAACATGGGGCTGTGAGCCAGTAAGGAAGGGTGTCCTCTCATTCAATTTGGTGGTGCTTTATTGCAACACTGTTAATTTTAGATCCCTGCAGAATGTGCATCCTGGCCCATACTCCTGTTTTCAGAGGCTGTAAATATTTTTACATGATAGTCAAAACTTTCCAAACTACTGACTTCTTTGTCTTGCTTTTTTCACTATAGCTGGTCATACCAGAGGAATGCCAAAGGAAAGGTAACATTGCAGGGGGTGTGATGTGAATGCCTCCCAGCCATGCTCACGTTTGGTTCATATACCTGCTTACAGCTGATATTAGAACATCTCCCCCATGCGCTGTTCACCCACTAGCCTAACAGTGCTTAAGATGAACTGTATTTGTACAAATATTCTGTTTCTATTTATTATAAGTGTTGTGTGGATGCCATGCTTAGAAAGATGCTTGATTGATAGCAGTGGAATGTACTCTTGTTTTCAAAGCAGAAGTTGCAGCCATTCAAGCTCCTTTTATTGCAGGGGTGGGCAATTAGTTTGGCCCACGTGCCATATCAGGAGTTTTGATGAGCTGTTGTGAGCTGGGTCAGCACTCCCCTGCCTGTGCAACAACTCACCAAAACTCCCTATGTGGCTTTGCTCTGCACATGGCAGGGTGGATGGGATGGGTTCGCAAGCAGGCAGGGAGCAGTGTCCGGGAGTTAAACAGGCAGGTGAAGCTGGGATCACAGGACAGGATTGTGGGACATTGACAGCATGGCCAGGGCAAAGCTACAATCCCCTGCTCACACTGCCCTGCAATGGGCATGGGTTCCACAGGCAGCGGTGTGTAGGCCCCAGCCCCGTACTGTCAGCAGCCCAAGATCCTGGTCCCAGCCCTGGACATAGCCCCTCTGCATGCCGAGAGGTGGCAGGACTAGGCATAAGCACCACAGCCCAGGCTGGCCCCTGGACTGAGTGGAACCAAGGGACCCGCCACAGGCCAGAAAAAAATCCTTTAGTAGGTCGGATCCTGCCCATGGGCCATATTTTGCCCACCCCTGTCTTACTGAGTCTACAACATGCTTTTCAAGCTTTTCTGGAGGGGTCTACTTTAGGTTTAGTTCCGTCTAGTCTAGTTAATTCTTTCTGTCTATTCAGCATCACATTCTTAGTTGTCATGCCATGACTGCCCACTTGACATCTGTAACAGTGATCTTGTTATTATGAAATAATATAACAGTAGTACTTCTATAACAGTGGTGCTTAATCCTTAGGCCCTTCAGGCCAGGGGAGTGGTGAGGGACCAGTCTGTCGCATCCAAGAACCCGGATGAATGGCCAGGCCGCTCCGGCATGCCTATGCAGAGCTGGCCGACAGTGCACCACGTGCAGAGCACATGGCAGCTCCTGAGCTGGCTAGCACCCCTGGGGAGCCAGGAGTGAAAAGTAGGCATTCACAGGCATGCACGGAAGCAGAGAGAAGCACACACACAACCATATAAGGGGCGAACACGGTGTCAAGTTGTGATCGGCCAGAGTGTAGTATATAACGCCAACACGGGAAAAGCCACGTTGGAGAGAGAGAGAAAAACACGGAACCAAGCAACAAAGCGCAGCAATGGCAGCCGGCCTGATCACCCGAGCAGCCGCTCTCCCCGTCTCCTGCAGAAGACGTTCTTAAGGCCTTCGCGGAAAATCCATCGGAAATGTCAACTGTGTGTTTTCGTTTGGTAATGTATTGAGTTTGTAATCAGTTTAAGCTTTGTAATTTTTGTATTAATTACTGTTGAGAGCATTATATATCTGTTGTATGTACCAATCCCAAAAATGAGCTGCTGACCAGGTCTGGGACTAGGGTTTAACTCAGCCGCCCCAAGACTACTATCAAGTAGTTTTGAAAGCAAGGGAGTTAACCTGAACCTCATGACCCAGTGGATACCCTGTGTGTTGAAGCAATTGTAATACTCTCTATCTCTCTGTCCCTCTCTGTCTCGCTTTCTCTTTTCCCCTTTGCAAACCGTTATTGTATGAACAAGTTTGGACATCTAGTTATTGTTAATAATAATAGTAAGAAGAAAAAACCCTCAGAAGTCATGACTGGTTCTTTCTCCTGGGCCGAGCATTATAAGAACCTGGGAGCCATTTTGTCAGCTCCTCTACACAGTCCGCAGGCTGGACCCGATTCATGGAGTTGGTCCGTGGGTACCATCTGGTATACTGGCCTGATGCCACACATGTCCTAATCTGGGACACCCGATCCAGCCACTCACCATCTTGACCCCATGCACCAGATCTGGCTACTGACCAGTCTGATCCTGCTGCATAGTGACTGGACCCCATGTGCCGGATCTGGCTGCAAACTGGCTTGACCCCACACACTGGCATAATTTAGTACACAAGGTATGTCATCTGATGCAGAGCTCCCCATGGGTCTGGAAGTCCAGCAGCAGGAAAGCTGCAATTAATGCTGCCACCGCTCCCCAACTGCCTAATTTTTGGACCCACGGACCAAATGACATACATGGCCTTTCAGGCTGGAGGTTGAACATCCCTACTCTATAAAGGCATGGCATGCCAGTAGGAGGCCTCTCCACCAGTTAGGGGTCTTGGATGATTATCAGTGGATGGGAGGGGCTGCCACTTGTTTAGCATCTTCTCCCAGTTAAACTTGTCCCAAAATCCAGTTTTTCCCCAGGTATCCATAACCCTTAATCTCTGTCATTCTTCTAAAGCAGAGCCACAGCTCTGCCTGTACTGAATCCATCTGCTGCAGTTCCCTTTGAATTCTTCCACAATATGTTGGGCAATGGAATCTAGCATGCTCTAAATTGTTCTGAAACAAAACTGAGATATGAAGCATCCCACTTTTCAACCTGAGCTATACAGGGTTTTAAGAAGAGACCCAAAGATTCTTCCTCATCAGATATCCAAGGTATTTAAACTAAACAGCAATCTTCTGAAATAAAATCTCCCAGAATTGTTCTTTTGTCATCTTCTTCAACAGCAAAGGAACAGTACTGCTCAATTCTCCCATTAATAGAGAATTATGCACAAATTTGAAAGGTATAGGAGGGGAAAAAATAATTGTCAGAATTTTAGTGTGCAGTATTTCCTGATTTGCTGAAAGCTACTCAGGCTCATAGGAAAAAACTCGTACTGCTTAAATCAGATTTTTATACTGCATTGCATTTCTGTTATATATCACGTGTAACTTTGCCTTGTTA